TGATACTAAACAGGCCCACCACTCCTGTCAGGGGCTATCTCCGGAGAGATTGATACTAAACAGGCCCGCCATTCCTGTGAAGGTGCACACTGTTGCGCTTGCGCATTCCAGTGAGTGAGGACAGGAAGCCTGGTCCTGGAGCGAACATGACTGGGAGACGCCGGCCTTATATCCCCAAGCGCTCCGGTCGCCCGGCAAGACCAACCGTGCAGCACTAGCATCCAGCCTCGCCAGATTCAAGTCAAGGACCATCATGTGGTGCAGATGAAGTTCAAGAGTCGCCAAAGTGCCGGGTACGGTATGCGGTCATCTCTGCGCGTGCTCCCGCCTATTACTCTGTATCAGGCTTTTTGATCGGGGCCACGCTTTGCCCTCAGAATAAAGAAGAGAGCGAACCTCGACGAGAATGCAAATTCATCTGCGCCCTTTGCTGTGGACTAATGAGATGGCATTGTGTCGGGGTGGGTGATTTCCCTGGCTCACTGACCCAGATCTAATGAGTAGGAAATCCTCGGCAACGGTGACCGGCACGCTCAAATAAGGTTGATTGGGGGCAACATACTGGCTGGTGCCGTGTGCTCAAGACGGAATATCTCAGTCACCGAGAGCCTGTCCGTTGGAGAACAGAGAAAGTTGTCGCTGTGCTTTGCCTTGGTGGTTACTGCTATCTTGAGGGCCAGGCAGTTGTGCTCATAGCAATGGAATTGCCCGACTCTGCATTTCCTGAGTTTAATCACATACTATCATGAGTAGTCATGTTGCTTTCAGCTATGATAGTCCGTTCTATTACAGCACCTATGTCACCAACTTCTGAATACCTGACCTGCGTTGCTTCTCATTAAGGTTATTTTATTGCTTTAGACGATGAAGTTCAAGCATAGATGGCTCGGTCAGATAAGAGGATATTGCGTTCACTGTTGATGATGGATGAATTTTTGACCACATGACGCGAGACCAGTCATAAACGACCGTGATTCTTTGCCACGACCTGCTACAGTACTGGTCTAGGTTAGCTCAGCTAGATGGCCGGGCTATGGGGGAAAAGCTCTTGTTAGAAGCGCCCGTGCTCGGTAGTCACCGTCAAAATATCGACCTCGGTCAAATCAACGAGACTGATGCGCACGTTGTCCATGGAGGCACTGATTGACCTCCCAATCTCTCCTCATCTCAAGTGACTCGGCAAAGTCATAACGTTCAGTCGGATGATTTGTAGATTCAACTGGGTGAGGAAAAGGTAGGTTTATAATTCAAACGAAGTACGGGTTTTTAAAAATGACCAGCTAAGGCTGTGTGCGACTGAAACCACGGTTTCCCTCGCTGGTACGCGAACGGTCAAGTTGTGAGATAAAATGCCCGCTCGTTTTGACGGGTTTCATTCTGCTTTCCCATTGACCAACATCATCATATGGCCTCACGCTTAGTAGGACGTGTAGATGACCATCTGTTTCTCATTTAAAATGGGCATGGTCAGGTATTCTATTCAACCGTCTTCTTTGGAACGGGTACGTGCCATGAGAAGTTGCGGGACATTGATGTTTGCAAAATTGCCCGGGTAGTATAGTGTTCCTAATCAGGTATAGAGCATCACGCTTGGCATTGAAGTGCGCGGTCTGTAAAGTCACCTTCATGGGCCCATCAAAGGCAGCCAGCTTTCGTGCAACCGTGTCCCGTCTACTGACCATCCTCTTTCTCGAAATATTATAAAGCATTGCCATAGATGTGACTTTCCATTTCCTACGCTTCGCTGGTCCTCTTACTGGAATGTGAAGGCTGACCTCTTGGTCTGAGGCCGACTCAACACCCCCGGCCCAGCGAGGATAAGAGATGTTTCAACCCTATACTCGAGCCTTCCTTGCAGATACTAGTCTGCTTAGGCGGGAGTTGCAGCAAGCCTGTGTACCCACCAAATGACAACAAGAGCTCATTTTGATTTGTAGCCACGAAAAACACGCTACGGTTGATGAGGTGCTGCTACATGTAAGCGCCCAAGTTTTATAGATTTTTGGTTCCTAGAGATTGGGCAGGATGCATCCTTCACGATGTAGGTGGGGTCATTTTTCGTTTCTTCTCCCAAGAGTGGCTTATAAATTTCCTACTTCCTACCGCACAGCTTCTTCATCGCTTCTGCAACGGCATGCTCATGTTCTTTCTTGGGATCTGTCTATACCAGTCCGGACATCTTCTTCGGTTGTGCAGGCGAATTCGTGTGTTCGTCGTGATTCGACGCAATCTGCCATTGAACTGTGAGTCCAGACACCTGCCCGAAGTAGGCAGAAATTTCCAGCTTATCGGATTCGGAGATGCCGACTTTAAAGGGACATCCAATTCGGAGTCGCCTCATTGCCTTCTGCTCGGCTCCGTACGGAGAACGTTTGACGGGAAGCGGGTGAGTAATATCGGATAAATGCAGACCAGTGTTTCTCCTAACGAGCACGCGTGATAGGTTGCGTCTCCGCTTTACGCGTGTCCACCTCAACTACGGTCCCAAAATCCAGACTTGCTATTTTTCGAAGCATGTTGGAGAAGGACATGGGCTGATTGTTTGCCTCGTCGTTGTGCGCTCTGCCCTGGGAGATGATCACGGCACTCACCCAGATGCTATGGATATGGCCGTTGAACACAAGCAATCTGGTGAGCCAGAGGAACGAAATGATGATACGTTTTTCTTGCAATCGATGTCCAAGTGTGGATGCCGTTGTGGGTTGCTTGAGAAGCCAAAAACATCGCTGACCGCTCCTATAGGACGATTTCTGTACTGCCAAAGGTAATCCTGAACCTCTGCTGCACGGTACCGAAAGGTGGGACATCATTTGCGAATATAGCCGATAGAAGGACGATACCATCTGACGTTTACTCCGCGCAAGTTGGCAAGGGATTGGGCGAAACTGTTCCCCTGCGTCCAGAACACCCAGGACGTCCCTGGTGGCGGCTGCGTAAAGGACGTGCGAATTGTTCCTAGACTGCCATAGCCGAAGTCAGTTTCCATGTCAATGCGCCCTGGGCATAGGAGAGCGTTATCCAGCTGGTTGATGACGTTGGTGGTCATGATCAAGATGTGGCCATCCCGCGCAGTTACGTCATGAATGCTGTAAAGCATAGCACACAGAGCGACTCCGTTGGAGGATAGTTTCACTGTCCGCTTCCATTTCAGGGCCTTGGTCGCCTTCGGACGCCCCGCGAACATTGTTGGGAACGTGATACCGATGTGCTCATGATGAAGCAACTCAAACACAATGGCCAGATCAGTTTCTCAATGCTCACCGCCAATGGCCTCTATCACAAGAGCAACGGGTAGGCATTGGTCTCCACTTGATGTTCATCCACTGACGAGAGAGGCCCCACACTACTCGGGACCCCAAGCGATAGCATGGAACGAATTGGCTGCCAAGTGTATCGGCGAGCCAAATCCACAGTAAGGAGGCACCCTCGCGGTGTAAAATAGACGGGGAATTACGGACTTTTCTCCACTTGTCGATGAGATCCAATGGGTAATGACTGTGTGGTGTCGAACCCTCAAAAGGCTAGATTATACAGTAGCGCCGTTACGAGAAATCAGCAGTCAACGAGAGAGGTAAGCCAACTAATTATGCTTGGAAAGAGTTCTCGCTGACTTAATGCTTGATTGCACAATTCATCTCAGCAAGATCGTACAACGGAAACATCCTTCACAGTGCTTATATCAAACGGATTCTGGGTATCGAGAGTGACACAATCAAGGATCGTCTAGCTACGGCGTTTCCATTTGCTAAGGAATAGGAGAGGGATCGAACTTTACTGACTACTACATAGCAAGTTTAGGTATCATCGAGCCGGCGTATTTGGCGGGGAGAATGACCCTTAAACCAACGTGTATTGATGCCTGAGGCAACTAAGGACGCCGGCCGAAGGGTGAGTAAGCTGGTAAACAACCAGACACGCTTTCCCCATTCTATTCCCGCGCCCGATAGAAATCTTTCCGCCGTTGAAATTATCTCACTCATTGATCATCTGAGTAACTCTTTCGAAGGGATGGAGGATACAATTGCCTACGACGTCGGTTGAAGAACAATACAATAAAGGCTGTGAGAAGCGGCAGAGACGCCATGAGGGCAGGCGCGAGATGAGGCCGAACGGCGAGTGCAACCTAACAACCTTCGATCACTGCCACATTACTTTGTTCTACGGGATCCAAAATGGGGCGGATGCGATCTTCACGACTCAGGGCGACGCAGCCGACCCAGTGAACCGTGAACCGACTCTACCCCAAGCACATCGTCCCTTGGCGTGACTTCTACCACCTACAGGAACAAGTCTGGGAGAACTTCGACCGCACCGCTGCCTTTACCTCTAGCCCACTGTCCCCTTCTGATACCCATTTCGATTATGTTGTTGAGAATATCTAGAACAGACCTATCTATTCGGAAGCATCTCTTCGGGATTTTGAGCGAGACACGGTGGACTATTTTGTCGACGTGTTGAGATATTCCCGAAACTCTCGGTCAAGACCTGCGGGCGTCTATCTATCGGCCCTCTCGCTGGAAACGAGGTCGGAAAGTACACAACTCGCGCTCGCGCTCACGCGCGTCGTCAACCTGGTGCAGCTACACCGAAGCACTCGTCTGCTGAAGGCAGCGACAGTGATCAAGAATCACTACCTTTCTAACCATCTGTAGCTCAGGGTTGCCGCACGACTATAAACGGGAGGGTTTCATCGAGGATGTCCTTGCAGAAGCAGTTCCATTGGGCAATTTAGGAGGACACTTAGTTGAGGCCCAGTCGGGGGTTTACATCTGTCTTAACTATTTGTCCTATTCATAACCCTCGTGATGTTTGTTGCACCTCACATTAGAGTGGAGAAAGCCAGTAATGTGCAGTGGTTTCCTTTGAGTAGATTTTACAACTGCACGAAAATCTGTATTTGTTGGCCTCAAAATTCTCCCAGTTGCTAGAAAATACCCGTCCATTTCATGCATCGTCATGGAGAATTGCAGCTCCCTTATCATGAAGTGCAACATCTCTTCGGACCTCGCCGATTAGAGAAGTTTATAAATCGACTCAGGAAGGTAAGAACGAATTGAACAAAAAATTCAGAAATTGACCTCCACAAAATGGTACAGGATGCTGACTGGCATCGTTTTATGCAATTCCACCCCCTAATTCAACATCAAATTGTATCTATTCCCAACAAGATATTCGACAAAACCAAGGTCATCTAATAGTTCCTCCCTGAAGCTGCGGCATGGCATCTCGTTTCCAGTCTGCGAAGTGTATGATTCCCACAATGCCATGCACATAGCGTCAGCTTTGTCGTGGGGTTGTGCAAAAAAGTCCAGAAGCTCTTGTGAAGGTAATTGGGACGTTGCGTCAAAGTGCCAAGTCAGAACGGCTAGTTTTAGAATGATGTCGTCGTGAAGCATGTCGGAGATACGTTTGGTATGCTCATCAAGGAGCGAGTTGTCACAGAGCAGAAACACTTCTGCCGAGGAATACCCTCCTATCCGGAGGCCCTGACATATATCCACGAGTACCTTGCGTTCGGGGTCAAGGCTCTGTCGAACTGGTGTCAACCCGAAGATCTCAAAGCCGAAGCACCATGCCTGCAGAGACTTTAAAGCCAACTTGGCCGGGGGAAGGAGGATCTGGCGAGGTAAAGCGCTCCTCATGTACGTTAGCAGAAACCCTTAAGGTACTTGGACTGGTCGCTAACCATTTTTCTCGACACGAAGTGAGATGTGTGAAACAGAGCCTGATCAGAACCTAAGTCTCAGAGGATGGCAACTAAGCCAAGTTCGAAGTAGCTGAGAGAAGTGATATATAGGCAAGAGATTCTCCTGATAGTTTATTTTCCCCACTACTCCAACGCCCCTCTCTCTTCTACGGCAAGGAGTGCCTCGTAGCGACCATCATCCTATGGATGGTACTTCGACGCAGGGGCGGTGTTATCTGCGTCTTTGTGAAGCTCCACATTCAACGTATTTCGGTGTATTGAAATTCGTGTGACGACGAATCACGGGCCTTGGTGTTTCTGGTCCCCGACCCCGACAGCCTCGCAAATAGGCTGTCCTCCGCCACCCCCACCGGATTCCGGCTGGCCGTGTGACAGATTCATTGTGATGAGAAAGCCCACTGGCTATATAGGGACATTAGCCTGCTGTTATGCTACAATACCTAAGACCGGATCTGTCCGATAGCTCCAAGCCATGCGCAAGCCCAGCAATAAGATGGCCCGGCGTTCAGCCGGTCTAGAGCTTCACGAAGTGCTGGGCTATCGGGTAAGGCGGTTATTTCCCGCTCATTGTTCGCTAAAACTTTATCGCGAATGCTCGATTAGTGGAAGTCTAGCCAGGTCCGCATCAGCTCACAGCCTCGCCCTGCTCGTTTGAGTTATATAAGAGATTCCTTTTTCCCATTTCATCACCGAGACTTACCTTTCTGACAATCTCATCGCTCGACATAGTTTTCTCTATAAGAAAGTTGGTTTCCAGTATGGTTCCAGCTGACGTATTGCTCGAAACTCTCGTCCCGGGCTACAGGCTTCTAGCTCGTTCACTTCCGTCTTATTTTCACGTTGATATAACCTCCTATCTTCTTGTCTTTGCAGGAAACCTCGCGTTCTGGGCGTATGCCATGCCATTGTTTTGGGACCGATTCCAATCCCTCCTTCTACTGTTCTCGACGTCGGTTGAAATTGGCTACCACGACGATTTGTATGATGATGCCATGCGATGGATTCTAAGCAAAGCACCTTGAGCCATACGTTGCGATTTGTTGCTGGCACAAGAATCAACTTTGCTACCCTTTGGGATGACACGAAGGAGGATGAGAGAGATCTGTCCGAAGCGGATCAACTGCGATTTGAAAATGATCCAAGGCCGTTTTGGATAAAGAGGACGGAACTTAATAATCTTCGAATAATTCGTTACACCCCCGCACCGGCTCAAACCCATTATTTTACCTACCGCGGATGTTTGATTGCTCTGCGTCGTCAACCGTATAAGGATGCCGGAAGTCCTTGGGTTGCAAGCATGGAAAAGCTATATTTTTATGCAGCCCCGTGGAAAAAGGATGTGTTAAAGGACCTTCTGTATAGCATCCAGAAGGCTTCTAGCGAGCATGACAAGCGTCGTGTTGTTGTGAAACGCGGGCTTAAACTGAAATCCGATTTCCAGTGGACACGGATGGCATCCAAGAAACCACGGCCCCTGTCGACAGTCATCATGGATTCGGAACTGAAAAGGGGTTATTGTCCAAGATATACAAAACTACCTACATCCTCGCACCCGTTCCTGGTACCAGTCCCGAGGTCTTCCGTATCGGCGAGGTTACCTATTTTACGGCCCGCCAGGTACAGGGAAGTCGAGTCTGTGTTTTGCAATTGCCAGTCTGGTGCAGCCTGAAATATTTATGGTCAGTCTCAGCGCAAGCGATCTTGACGAAAATGGCCTGGCTCTTCTGTTCCAGTCCCTTCCAAATCGATGCATCGTTCTGTTTGAAGATGTGGACCAGGCTGGCATCCGGAAACGCGACACCGATATTCCTCTGTCACGGAACCGGTGTGAAACAGACGAGATCACCGACTGCGACGGCTTAGAACGCCACGGTTCCGAGCGGCGATCAAGCAAAATAACTCTTTCCGCATTGCTCAATGTCATTGACGGTGTATCAGCGCAGGAAGGCAGAATCCTGATCATGACAACCAACCACATCGAAAAACTAGACGGCGCTCTCCTTCGTCCTGGACGAGTAGATATGCGAGTTCCGTTCCACCATGTCGACTCGTCAGCTATTCAGCAGCTTTTTCTCTCCTTCTTTCTAAAACCCACTGATACACTGGTTATGGACGGCACAGAGTTATTTAATTCGACCGATTCACCGTCTCCCGCGGCCCGCCCCGATTGGGATATTGAGGATATCATGAAATTGGCACTCGCATTCGGAGATAAAGTTCCTCAGGACCGTTACACTGCAGCTGAGGTTCAAAACTATCTGTTGTTACACAAGAATGATCCTAAGTCCGCAGTGCGTGATGTGGCAGATGGGTGGGTCAATCGTGCAACTGAACCATATCAAACCAGTCGCGTCTTGAAATGGCGTCAGGAGACATTAGAAAACAGCATGAAGGTCCAACAGAATAAATGTCTATTCCAGAGTGTATTGAGCTCTAATTAGTGGAACATGATACAAAATATATTTTCTAGGTTCTGCAAGATCTGGTGTTCCTCGTCGAGTAAGGTCTGCGTCTGCGGAATCCGTGCCGTCCGGGTAACTTGAACACGAGAATAGGGATATGTGTCAGGAGACTTGCATCAGTATTGGTATTGTAGTTCGACGGACACTTTCACATGCACTGCAGCTTGCCTCAAGGACGTATCATGAAGTAACTGCCACATTTTTAAAACATGCTTTTTGCAACTGCCATTCGAGGGACTCGGCAATCAAGGAAATCCCTGCCAGTTCAATATCCAAGTGCTGCTGAGCTATTCCATGTCGCCGTTTTTCGAAGTCAGGAACTGGAGTAGAGACCACTGACTGGACTTCGGATGCAAGATCGGAATCCCCACGATAACCCAAGTCCGTACTGCGCTCAGTGGAATTGGGATCGGCTGTACTGGGGTCAGTTCTCTGTCGCGTGGATATTGTTGAATCGGAAAATGCCGGACTTGCACTGCTACAGTCCGCTATACCATAGTCACAATTAACACTTGAGATATCATGACTTTTGAGATCCTCACTGTTCACTTTTTGTTGCTCATACCAGCGCCTTCCGAGTTTCCGAGCTCGACGATGGCACCCACTCTGTCTCTGTCGCCATCCTTTTCGGTTCTCATTTGCTTGGTTCTTACCTATCTCCAGTGCTCTACATTCTCTTGCACGGTGCGCACTGTTGTCTGCCTGGATTGATTGCTGCAACCGATGGTCTTGCACAATCTGTCCCCCTGTCCCACGCCCGGTTCTCCCTGGAACATGCGTATCATCAGCAGTATCCTCATCTGACACAACATGCCCAGCTTCATCATGCAGGACTGTGGCAGTATAAGATTTATAAATGTTAGGGTCATGATCGAGTAGAGGAAACGACGTAAGGTCTCCAAAATGGAAAAATAGACACAGCGACGAACGAAGAAGCCTGTTACTGTCTCGACCATGGGAACCTTATCGGCATGCAGATGATCGATAAATAGATAAAGGCTATCGTCATTGTGCGTCTGCATTCGCGACAGGCCACATCGCAGGCGTAGATTTGTAGAGAAATTTTCGAGATGCTCAGAAGACGTTCTGGCTTGGTCCGGAATAGCATTTTGAAAGCATTCGATGATTCTGTCGACTAACAATCCAAATATGTGTGGGTCATAGCGGAAAATACCAGGTTTGCGAGCCTGGAGTAATGCCGCACGTGCAATTGCCCGGTCTGGGGATCGATTAACTAGTCCTTCAATCTCAGTCGACCGAAAGCCAAGCCGGTAGGCGAGTCTAGCCATCTCACAGACTGTATGCTCGTCAGCCTTTGCACGATCGGAATTTGTGAACAACTTGGCGTCAGTCTTTGTATCGGCGGCATTAGCGGATAGTGTCTCATGGCATAGAGCCAGACCTGGCGATATCCGAGCTCGAACTGCTCCGTGGGGCTCACACGTGTTGTCCGGAAGGAGGACTCTGATATTGCACTCCTATGCCCTGGGTATATCTGATCGGACTGACACGGTTAATTGATCCTCTAGCTTCACATGATGCGGCGGCGCATGACGTTATGTTCCTATCATGAATACAATAGGTGGGTCGGCAGAGGCAGACTTCCAGAAACGTCACGTGATACGACGCCAAGGGCATACCCTCACCTAGACCTCGCCAAAACGCGGGTTGGGTTGGGTTTTCATTTTCTGAACCTGTTCAATATCACGTGATGTCACATTGGCAGGGATTGGGAACAGAGATATATATATATATATATGAGGCATCCCGCCCCTGTAAGGATAGAAGTAGCAACTAACAATCAATCAATCTATTCTCACTTCAACACATGGGTTTGCTGACTAAGACCCAAACCCGCCCATGGGTTGGGTTCTTGGCGGGTACCCATGGGCTTGGGCGGGCTTTGGCGAGCTCTACCCTCACCTGCCATACAAGCCGACCAGTAATTTCTTGGTATGGGCACTCATGGGGAGGGAGCCTGTGCACAACGTTACATCGGACTCATGTCGATGTTGGCACTGTATATTTCACAAGGTAGAGGTAATTTCAATGATCACGCATCTCACTGACGACGTAGCGCAACGATCTTATATTACGAGGCAGACGCCCGCTCCCATTCTCGCGAGAGGAGAATTGATTCCGGGATTGCTGGGCCTTTATGAGAGTCTTTTTCAAATGCGAACGGGCAACGTCATAGAAGCGTGAATTATTACTGAACAAAAGGCAGGATATGACACCTAACATACTCCGGGTACTCCGCCCGGAATCCCTCAAACAATGGTGTTGGCGGTCGAAAACGGTGTCAAATTGCTACTGATTTTTTTATCTCATTGCAGTCCACCAGGAAGCTTTGACCTGTTTCTAGAGTCCTTGTGCGTGAGAACCTGTCTGTATTTATGAAATGATATCAATTGGTCTAGTGGGGCCTGACGATACGGTGGTTGTTCTGCTTCGTTTGATGTCCCTCCGTCCAATACAGTGGTTGGTGATGGGACTACCAACAGTTGGCATTACTCACCAACAAAACCAACCGGAGATTATAGCCTCACTTAGTGGTGTACTTGGTTAGTTCTTCCGGCTCTCAAAGACGTCTAGTTTATTAGCAAGGGGATACCAACCATATCTGCCATCACTGCTCTTCAGCAAATTTCGCGCAAGATGCCGAATAACATCAAGTTCCGATCATCCCGGTCTTCTCTGGAACATCAAATACTGGTAAAATGGGTGTTATTAAATTATTTGGCAAGCTATTGTATAACTCGTTCTAGGAAGCGAAGAACCAATCATGTTAAAGACGCGATATTTAAGCAATTATCCCTGAAAGCCTGTTGAAAGATATAGTAAGCAATGAATGATATGGTACTCCTCACTGCACATTCTTGGATCTCTTTTTCTTTTTTCCCTTTCTACAGGGCAGTTTCGGGTCAGCGTAATACTGCTCTTCCGGACATGCAATTTCAGGCTCGGCGTTATCAGGATCCAAGCATGAGGGCTTCTCCGCAGACTGACCGGATTCAAGACTCCATATCTCCGAGGTTGACTGGGAAGCGAATATCATCGACTGTTCACTAATAGATTCACCCATATCAGTTTTTAGCTCAGCATCTATCTCGTCAGAGTTGCCACAATACTGTGAATCGTCGTGGTCAGAAAAACCGATTTGTGACGGGCCGTGGTCATTTCGGTCTCGGGGCTTGTCATATAACCGGCGTACCTCTTTTGTCAAATTCGTGCCAACACCTCGACTTCCAACAAATTGTCGGCAAGTGCTTAAACCATTCCCGAGAATCTGTAGTTTCTTGCTCAATTGTTCCCGTACTGCATGATTTTCTTCAGACTCGCCAGCGATGCGAGATACCAGCTCCGGCGGCATTCCGAAAACTTTGATAGGCGTAAAGAGAGAAGCAAGAGACTGGACCAGTCTAACCTCGACAACCTCAACCGCCACGTCGTCGATGAATCGCTTTAGTGCCACCTGCAGTAGTCAGCATTAACAATGGCAAAACCGTAAAATGTAGCATTTCACTGTACCTTATAATAGGCAAGCATGCAATCCAAAGCTTCATCCGACGCAAAACGCGTCATATCTGGTTCAGTACACTCCAGAAGTGACGCATGAAGATCCTGTAAACAGTATGTCTTAGAGAGGTATAGCGGCTTTTGTAGGTCGTCCACCCCAGAGAAACGCTGAATGATTCCCTTCAAGTCTGCTGCGCGCCTACCAGCGCGGCCATTCTGTAGGTTCTCCATATAGTAGTGATTGTAGGTGATTGGGTGACTTTTCTGGTGGCTTGCAAGTAGTTCCTCGCATTTCGTTGTTAGAACCTCCTTGAGTTGACGTAGTGCAGGCGAAATGACCTGGTCGAAGAGAGCGGCGGAGGTTGCTTCATCAGCTATGTAGCCTATCACAAGCGACATAAACCTTTCGACTTCTATCCAAATCGAGAGAATATGTTGGTGTGTTATAGCTGTCCAGGGCCGACATTGTTCCAGGAATAGTTCGCCCACAATCATAGGATTGAACGTGCCAGGTAGCTCCCGTCCTCGTGTCCGTTTCATAAGGACCTGAATATATTCAGTGAATTCGCTGCGAGTCACCGTGATTTGTCCTCCTCGACCATCGATTCGATCAGTGTTTTCGACAATTCTGCGGTAGTGGCCTCGGCTATTGAGACGCTCGGCAAAGGCCTCGGTCAGATTCTGGACCACAGCACGAACCCGCTTCTGCCGCCCCGTAGAAGACTGAATATCTTCAAAAAATGCCTCATTATATGTTCCATCCACAGCAGCCTTGACCAGAATTTGAAAGTGTTGACTGATGCTCAGAAGATACGTCCTTTGCTCATCCAGAGTAGCTCGGGGCTCGCCAAGCTTTTTCAATTGCTGTATGCAATCTTCCTCCTTTTCTTCTATTTCCTTGATAAGACTTGGAAGCTCAGCCGCAATCTGTCGCAGAAGCAATCCGCTGAGACGGTTACGTAGCGAGCCAACCCCTACCAACGGAGCTGGCATCTCTCCCCAGGCCCCCTGGGAGAAAAAGTCTCGTTCTTCCTTGTCACGATCCGAAAGGGTACAAGAGCCCTGGTCAGTATCCATATTCTTGAGCGCATGCCATCCAAGCCGAAATTCAACGTCCCGATTTTTCGCTAATGATATGAACATTCTCTCGCTTTCAGAATTTGCGACCAGTGTATCGGGCTTGGTAATAACGCCTAAGGTTCGATTGCCCGACGGATCAGCATCCCTCGCCAATCGTAAAACAATTTGATTCGCATAGTCACTTTTCGCTGAGACCACCGCCAGGATGATACTCCGCGGCTCCCTCATATATGACTGGACCACCTCCTGGACCAACTGAACATCTGCGGCAGATTGATGTTTTGTTTCGGAGTGTATAAGTCCTGGCAGGTCAACGATGGTCAAATGCGGTCGGTCCGGCCCGGATATCTCAACTCGTAGAAGATCGTTTGAGAATGCTTTCCCATGTGTGGATATGCCCATTGCCGCTTTGGCATTATCAACCAGCGGGGGCAGTCCGTCAAACCCATCAAGCTCTTCGCAGAAGTTCCCCAGCGACTGCTGTTCTACTTCACTGCGCGAGTGATGCGGTACAATAGACACCCTTACTCCGACATTAGTGTCTTTCCGGAGTACAAGTTCTGTTGGAAAACGGGTACAGAGATTGCTCTTGACCGGAAAGGAAACTCCAGAGATGGCTTCCAGCACAGAGCTCTTTCCAGAGGACTGGTCACCGCACACAATGATCTGCGGTAGAGACACATAATGACTAATCCCCTGGGATCGAAGCGTATCGATAGCGTTCAAGAGATGAAGTTGTTCACGAGAGCACAGACTGTCAAGGGCGTCGGAGTGCAATTCTCTCAAAACCATGATATCGTGAATGAGAAGGATTTGGGTCCACTATAAAATACAGAGACTCTTCGAAAGAGTTATGTCTGTAAGAAAGGAATAAATACGTAAGAAACTAGATGATCTGTGGTGGGTAGACAGATTCCGGGTTGGACATCAGGACATTTATATAGTGTGGTATGTTATCTGTTTTGATTCTTATCTACCTCATTCCCACCTAGATGGACTGGCCTTAGTTAGCGTTAGTGAGCCAACGACTGGCATAATTAGCCTGTCTTGTCCGCTTGTAGCTGAACGGGGAAAAAGCCAAGGCTGAGAATAACTGACGGAGGAATGATGCATACTTGAAGTGAAAGCGGGATGGTTGCAACGCCATTTTCCATTGCCCATAGATAGCCTAGTTAATTACGGTAACTGACTCACTACAATATATTGATTATGCGAAATTAATGCTAGCTTGTGAGTACCAGATTTTCTCGGAGGTGAACAGCTCTGTCACAGTGAGAAATAGCAATGCAGTAACAGATTATCTTCCCCTTGGTCTTCAGAGGAGATAAGAAAAATAAAAAGAAAAGAACGTTTTCAACACTCGCTCCCTCGCAAGAATGGATTCTTGCATCCGAGGGGAAATTACTTTTGATATTTGATGGTACTTGCGGAATGTCATGCAAGAAGCGATGCCGGTGAAGGCGGGTGGGTGGTGCACAGGTATGTGGCGGTCTGGCAGATTCGCAAACAGGGGGTATCGTAACCTTGGTGTCGTAAACCCCGAAGTTGGAATGATATGCACGTCGAATTCCTCACTAGTCAACTCATCAACACATACCTCCTATAGAACTCTCCGGCGCGCTTCCTGACTTGGTGACAATTCCTTGGGGCCCGTCAAGGTAAAATGTCGAATGTCACGCACAGGCCGCTGGAACAGTACCAGTGTGGTGGTGGGGATCTTACGTGGATTTCTTGTAAGCAAAGCTCTTTGAATAGTTAAGTCAACGGAAGATTGATAATGCAGTATCTCGCACACGTACTGTATTGTATTGAATACTAGCCGAAACCTAGAGAAGGAGCTCCAGGCCAGATGACTAGTAACTCACCGTAGTCCTAGCAATTGTCACGCTCGGAATATTCGTCAGAAGCCAATCCCTTTCTGCTCCACCATACCATGCCATAATACTCGACTCCCATACATAATCAACAGTATAACTTTCATTCTTCTCCGTCCTTGCCAATACTGACCCTCCACTCAGTCTCTCCATTGTAATGAACCTACCTCTTGAACCTCGAAGTTCTTCAACTTCGTGTTCTACAAGTACCATGCAACACCTAAGAAGTGCGACTACGGCAATATTCACTTCTGGGAAGTCCTTTGCTCGAGAGCATACAGCCGCACTAGCCTTTGGTAGTACGGGACTTGCCCTCGCTACGGCACCTATCGCTGGCCCTGCAATATTAGGTGCTGCCGGTTTTGGCGCTACAGGGCCTGTTGCGGCTTCACTTGCTGCAGTATGGCAATCTTCAATCGGAGCAGTTCAAGCTGGGAGTCTGTTTGCCACATTACAAAGTGCTGCGATGGGAGGTGCTGCTGCGGGAGGATTCACAACAGCATCGAATATTGGTATCGCGATGGTGGGATCCGCGGCGATCGGAACACGGTGGACTTATAGCAAAGGAGTACCACGGATGAGGCATGATGTCAAAAGTACTGATAAAGCTGGATACTGTGGTACTATAGCTCTTTCTCCCTGAACGCTTATCAAGGCTAACTCAGATATAGATAGCGATCAGCCAGATGATGAATTTGACCACAAGGCAAGCAATCCACAGCCTTGTGATAAAAATGATAGTTTGGTAAAGGAATGGGCAAAATTGCTTCAAATAGACCCATCTTGATTGGATATTCCCAACGTCGTACACCAGAGCAACGTGCAAGAGGAAACCCGTTCAGATATTTATCATAGCCATATCTACAGATGTTTCGCCTTTTATCTATCCTTACCAGCCGATCCTTCGGGATCTCTTACAATCAACGATGACGACGGTAAGGATTCATACTCCGAAAAATCGCCTTAGATAATACCTATACCAGTAGGTCTCTTTCTTGTAAAGAGTTGATTATTGAGAGCCAAGAAATCCAATAACTAGCCTGAGCTTTGCAGCGGGATGCTATGGTTATGTGGAGGTATGATAACATCTGCGAATCGACGTTGCGATTAAACGGAAAGTATAAGGGGATTGATCAATTGATTCATGCCGTCCGGCTGCATGTACTGGCGTCAATCACAATCAATTTCCTGGACCAATCGGGTAGCGCCACTAATTCCTTTTGAGAAGTTAAACGGCGGCTTCAACTTCGTATCATCTCGGAATTTGGATGCTTCAAAGCAATAATAACGACTCTGAATTCGGCTAAGCTTACTATGCCCATCTGGTAGATTCCCTTTGTCTCGTCACTTTCTATCACACAGTAATGCAGTTCAATTTCTTTAGGACTACAGCTTGTGTATCCATGTAATTCCTCCCGTAAATGGAAGCATGATATATCTATATATATAATGACTATCGTCACCACCGACCAGCGGCGTACGTAATAGACCTTTCCCTTCAATGCCCAGAGACCAAATACATTTGTCACCGATTTGCATAATGGTTCTAGATATTTCCATAATACTCCGTATAGTCGGCGTTCAGTGCCTGATATGATACATGCGCGAATGACTTCGCTTGACCGGTCAATCCGGGGACAATCACCCGCCTAAAGAAAGGCTATGGAGTTCGTAATTCATCGCAGGGCGAGGTGAGGGGCGGAACCAATTGTCGTCTGCAGTCGCATCTTGTGCTCCAAATGTAAAACGTCGTGTGCAATGGGCTTGGAGAGACTGGTCAAGCTAAATCCTCTCTCAGCGACGTACCTATCTAAGCTATCCGAAACATATATCACATTTGCCCCCTTTTCTTGCCGCCTCTGATACCTAATGGAAATTGGACTCATCTTCTGGCACAGTAGAGATATGAATCCCAAATAGAGGACATCCTTGCCTGCAAGTCGTATAAAATTGATCCTGATTATAAGTTCTGACAGTTTGTCACGTTTATTTATGTCTAAGAGGCATCCGCGAAAGGTTTCACAACGAAGATACACGAAGCTGATCCGCTGACCGGAACAAATTATTGCTGTGTATTACACAATGAGTAATTAGCGGCCCAACTGCATTTGCTGCACTAATAAATCTTCCACTCCCAGCCTGCAAGTGTAGACATAGCTGTTCTCCTACTGCTTCCTCGCATTCCTACCAAACAATACAATAATGTTCGCTTGGTTCGACTGGAAGTAGTTGATTGTTTCTACACAGGTAGGTGCTGATTGTGTAGGGCTCTGGTAAACACAGGGCGAACCGGAGACATTCTACCAGCTGGTGTCTAACGAACCTGGTCCCGACTCCCCACGACCCACTTCCGAGCACAGTTTCCCAAAGCGAATAGACCTTGATGCTATGTGGTACCTTCACCCAGCAAAGGTCAGCCCCAGCGTCGGATGATCCTCGATCCCTGCGCAAAAGTCAGTATCATGTCGATGGAGGTATATAACGCAATCAGCGGAATAGAGCTCCAGCCCTACCAAGTAGAGACTGCTGCAGCTACGGGGCAACCTGATCAACAGCCACAAGGGGCAGTTTAGTTTCAATGGCACTTCTATAAGGGGATCAACTTGTACAAACAAGCTTCTATGCTGTCCTCAAGGCAGGTTTTGACCTTCTCCTGGGAGATCCTTCAATACGGCAAAATGAGGTGCGCCTGGTTAGATGGTACAAAGTAGGTAGGAAAGATTGTTAAATGATTTAAAATATGGCGATGAGATAATATCCATCATCAAAGCCAGAAGGCTTGTGTTATTTGCAGAGAAGCCAGGAAAAGGAGTATCACCTAATAAGGTTTGGAAGAGGCGTCCAATGGAAGGCTGGGCCTTGAGCTAATGAGACGGTGATGAGATTGCTCTGCTTTTACTTTTCTTATATGGGCTTATACCGATCAAGATTGCTGTCCGACTGTAAGATATTCATACGACTGTCATACACCGAAATGATAGTTTTTATTTGGTTCGTTCTCTTGCACTTATCACTTGTCTTGTGCTACTGCGCACCGTTCCTCGCAATCCTCCTCTTTTCTACCCCCTGCTAATATAAGTACCAAAACAAACGCTCTGCAACTAATAGTTCTCTAACTGATAATCTCTGTGAGAGTTTGACAATATATTCTCTCTGTTGGAACCAATACCCGAGTGATACCAGTAGCCATTAGAGAGATATCTCTTTTGGTCTACTTGGTAAATGCCTCAACATAGGGGCGGTCCTACTTTAACATACCATGGTGATATAGACCATTATGATGTAACGGCAAGCGCAGGGTCAAGAAGCAGGACTCATGTTGGAGTAAGATGCGAGGAGTACCATTCAACGTGACAGCCGTACCGGCTCTAGGGGCCCAATAGCCTGGGATGGAAGCCATAACATGGAGACAATGGAAATTCAGTAAAAGGGTAGATGGAAAGTGGATGAAGTTACAGAAACAAGTAGGAAGTTCGAGAAATTCAATTTTATTCGTTCGTTCGTTACCTTTAAAGGGGTAGCTTTAGGCTTCGACCGGTCATTGCAATTCATTGTTGAAAAATGGCGAGATACATACATCGAAGGTTCCTACCGTCTTTGGATGAGTGGCGGCTCTGGTTCGAAGGCGCCTGTGAATGGGAGATGTAAAACAGGCGGATCAAAGTTCTTAATTTCTGGGTGTGAGTCTGATCCATTCTCGAACTCTAGTACGCTGCCATATCTTCGTAGAACCTTGCAAACTGATCTCGAAGTCCCGTAACTAGGCAAGACCAAACAGACTCTCTATGGGACTGAACTTTCCAGTATGCCTCAGATGTTACTGAGCGCCAAGCTTTCTGCGAGGGCGTCTTCTTTGCCCGTTCAGAACGGGCGTTTGCCTTTCTTTGTACTCGTTATGGATCTCCCTCAGAGAAATCGTAACAGGCCGCCTTCATAAGCTTATGCTTTCAAGAAATACTTCCTATTCTCAATTGTATATGTGCACAATTCTTCCAACGTATGGAAAATTTCCAAGTGACCGCCTGTCCGGCTCGACTGCAAGAAATAGACCAAATTGAGGTGAGTGTAGACCACAACCTTTGAGACCACAACCTTTGTTTTTGTTGGCCCTGATTTAACATCATATGGATATATCTAAGGGCAAACCTGTTGCGCGTTACGGCGTTCATTATGTATCGGGATTATATTCATGCAACGGCAAATTCTCTGCCATGATGCCAGAGTCTTCGCATCGGTCCCAACCGTCGAATTGTGGGCTTGGATCACCGCAAATCGAAACGACTGCCTGTCGCATTCTCGCGCAGCCTCCTTCGATGTAACCCAAAGTAGTCACACATATGGTAAAACTTGCATGAATAGGCCCATCTGGGTTGTGGGCAAACCTTGGATACTTTGCAGAGAACGCATCGATTTCATCTATAAGTAGGTTGGCCTGATTGCTGTCTACTATCAACAAGAAACTTGATATGACCGACAAAGTCAGTAGATCAGTTCCGTCTATAGCTCATCAAAGGTATAAAAGCTACGAATACGGCGGCGATCAAGCCTTTCTGGCAGAATAATGAGCAGAATTCGTTGTGCATTTGTCTTACTTTCAATTCCTTGCAAATTGGGCGAGTAACCAACCAAGGGAATCGAAGTATGTCGGCACTCACGCCGTTTCGAGAGGTTCGATAAGGGGTCGCAGTTACGAATGCATCTTTTTGCTTAGTAACACAGCTTGAGGTAACTAAGTGAGACTCAAATGAAGAGGGAGGGGTTATCTGCTGAGACTATTTTCCTGCGGTTATTGGTTGTCATCTCACTGTGGGCTTGGCATGTCAAGGGCCCTTGCTTGTCTACATGATTCTCAGAGGTCAAAGCAAGTTGTGCTTAACGCAAGGGATCCAGCACACGAAGCCGCAATTGCGCTCCATCGCCTGCCCCATGTCGTCGTATGCAAAGTCCGTCCCAAGCAGGGGTATCGTCAAATGTATTCCTGACTTGGCGGTGAAAGATCCTTGTAGCACCTCTTGATGCGAACAATAATCTAGCTCCAGAGAATCGGCCGTAGATGGAGAAGTACGGATACGGCAGTTACTCTACGTAAGAGAATGTATTCCACAGATAGCCACGTCCAATTGACAAATGCCTACCAACGTTATTCTTCCTGGCTGCTGCGGCGAACTGCCAGGGAGGTACTTGCCACAACATCAATCTGACGGAAAACCCTCTACCTAATATTACCTGCAGTTACAAGGACACACTCAATTGTGGTCGCATTCCTCACCTGCTTTCCTGAGTATACGTATAGCATATACATTTACGCACCTCATTCCATGCGCCTTTCCATTTGAGCGATTACTAGTCATCATCCTTCGCTCGCTGAGTAAAAAACTCTAGGAAATATTCATTTTGTGCCCTCTCTTAATACAATATTTAGAGGTACACAACGATTTGGCTCATCATGTCTCAACTCCGTCCCTCTCCATAACGGAGCTGTGTATATGATACACGTCACTACCTCTAAACTGTTGACGGAGTCCTGTATAGGACCGGGGTAAGTGCTTTTAAGACCTTTCGCGAGCCTGCTCAGCTTGCCTTAAGAGGCCCCGGTATTGTTACCCTCAGCAGCGTGCGGTTCCTTGCTAAGATACTTGTTCCCTGTTTTTTTTTACCATATTTTTTGTGGTACGTCTAACCGTTCTTGGGCCAGTCACGCCTGTAACGTTATAATACGTTCATACACTCCTACAATAATACATTCGTACACTCCTACATCAGAAATGTGGCAGCTACGTGGGTACCTTCAAAAATAAATTTGACCAAGTGAGTCGCTGCATGGCTGCCCAACGTAAGTGGCTAGACCGCTGTTCCAGCCCACGGGGATATCCGTTGCACAAACCTTTCAGATTAGCGAGGCTGGTAATGAAATTGAGCCTAATATATAGGGAGTCATCTCCTTCACGGGGTATCGAGCTTCTCATCTCTTCATATGTGGTAGAAGCTTCTCTCCGGCATTATTTGTGTTTGCCCTCACAATGACAACTGTATCTTTCGGCCAGGCTGAGGATGGAAGCCACCCAGCCTGGCCACAGGATGAAGTTATGAGTTCTTTAGTTGGACGGGTGGGGTCCTCGCCAATCTATTCTGGGGCCGATTTAACTTCTTTTTCACTTGAGGGCTATTGCGATCCAATCGTGACAGGGGGTAGACAAGGAGAAATCCTGGCTCCTCCTTCTACGATAGTGACCGATACTGTGATCGGGGACAGCAGAGAACCTTCTTGGCCGGAGCAATACCTAGACCTCATCGCACAGAACAACCTACTGTGGCTGGAAGACTTCGCTCAAAACCAGTCACGTTCTGCTAATCTCGTGGAAGCCTCGACTCTGACCACAGTGGGGTTGGACTCACAGGCACGCTCACTTCCAAACCAATTTCTATAGAGACGTGGCTTGGATGGATGCCTGAGTGATAAAGTTTACGAGAGTACCACCGCAGCTGTGGTTGTTGGAGGACGGGCCGATTCAGGAACATATGTTTCGAGGTTTCAGGAAGTGCCAATTCCTTCTTATGATCATGATATTTCACCAGAGGATGGGTTATATCACTGCCAAGATCGTGCATGCATGGCCCCGACTGGCTTTTCAAGGAAATGTGATTTGCAGTAAGCTACGCCACCACTTTCTCAATTTATCCCGCTGACTCTTCACAGAAAGCATATGCGCAGTCACGTTAAGCCAGTTAAATGCCCCATATGTACGGTAACCAAGGCTCAGCAGGTTCATATGCGCCGACATATTGAAGTGCATCACGGTGGATGGGCTCGGCAATGGTGGCAAATGGGAGTTGTGTGTGAATTATGCGGTAAATCATTCACAAGGAAAGACAATCTTCGGAGACACCACCGAAGTCAGCATGAAGATCTTAGTAGCCTTTCTGTATCTGATTAAGGAATTTCGTCTGTGGGGCCTATACTCTGTCGAGTCTATGAAGGTTCTTGAATGGTATTTTAGATCCCCTCCAAGCTAATGTCTGGTAAGAAGCAGAAGTACACTCGCCTCAATCTTGTAACCAAGGTTTTAATGAGAATCCAGGATTACGTATTTCAATGAGAGCAGAGAAGGTATGGAATTCCAAGAAGTAAGAAAAAGAAACCAAATCAACTGGCGAATTAAATCCTGAATACCATTTTAGATCTTGAGAGATACCCCGCCACAGTCTGCATCAGAGTCTTCATCCGACACGTATGTCCTGAGCTTATTTGCCTCAAGAACCTTAGCCGTGCTATGTTTAGCTGCCTCCATTTTCAAACTGCCGTTAGCAGATGAATATCGGAACGTATCTCCCCGAAGCTCCTCCAAATCTATGCAAGACCACCGGTCATTTGAAATTGCTGTCTGGGAATCAGGATGCCAGGGACTTGGTGACGACTGATCAAAGATTTGAGCAATCACAGCCCGCCGAAGCTCATTTGTCATCTCATTGAGGACCTTTACCTGCAAATCGTAATCTGGATCCCTCCTCGTGGGATTTTTGACTAATTGCGGGCTCCAATTAACCCAGACTTTGCTGTGAGATTCAGGGACGACCATTCGAGCCGGATGGTGCTTGAAGTACAGTTCGCAACATAGACAGGCCGGCTTGCTACATGCAATGTAACGGTCATTTCCCACCAAAGACAGATTTTGCCTGAAGAAATGGTCCAGAGCCTGCACTTCTGCATGCACCTGCGCCGTGCACTTGTCATACTGTACCAGGAAATCCTGGAAGGTGCGAGATTGAGACCGAAAATTCATGAAAAGCAAAAGATTCTTTATCTGAAGCTTTTCCGGGTCATCCTTCTTCAACATCCTGTTGAGGACACCGTCAAGCGTGGTGAGATTGTCGGGCACTGGCCGAGGCACTGAAGACACACAAGGAATAGCCACCACCTGATGCGAGTCAAGGATGTGAGACAAATGGCAGGCATCCTCAACCAGCTGCGACGGTGCCCGGATGTGATCTGCCAGTCGCCCTAGATAATGGATAACTAACGCAAAAGGCGACCGTTTGTCTCCAGGACCCATTAACCCTTCTTCGTCTTGAGCTTTTAGTCCGATTACCCTGGCGAATCCGGACTTTATTTGGACATAGGCATAATGGCAGAGTGCCAGACAATCATCTTGTTCCAGAATGAAATCAAGCCTGTCTTTTAATACCCGATCTACTGAGCCAGTTAGCTTGTCATATTGTAAGTCTCTGCAATCTGGCCGTTACGAACCTTGTTCCCTTCTCACAGATCCCGGTATGCAATAACACTGTTTGATCGCCTGAAACAAGCACTGACGCTCCTTTTTTACTCGGCTAATCGCGAAGTTAAGACAGATACTGATAAAGTTTGCATTAGTTTGTCCTTCATCGAGGTCCCCAGTGATTGATGTAGTTTGCTTCAGGCGGCCGAGAGCATTCTTGGCGAATTCGACGATTTTGTCACCAGATGCGTTGGATGCAATCCAGAAGTTGTAACATGTTTCGCTGTCTTCAAGCCCAATGGCAGTGCAGGAACTACCTCCTTTGGTAAAGTCACAAACATAGGCGAGGTTACGTAGGAATTTACGTCGCCGTGCTTGCTCCAAACTATGATCCGGTGGTCCGAGTGTATGCTGCCCACGGGTCTGTCCTAGTACACGCAAAAGAAACAAAGGCTCGTAAAATCGACTAAGAAGTCTATTATAGGCGCCTAGTCTCGGGCGCCCCACGCGGACTGAGTCGATAGGCAATTGTTTGTAGGTGGTATTGTTCTGGATTTTCAATGAATGCTTTGAGGATGGCAATTTGGAATGAATTATAAGAAAAGTGCACGCAATATAAACCAAATTCAGAGTGGGAGACTATTTGGAAAGGAAGAGTAATTCACGGGTATTTAGACGACCCATAAAGATTTATATACCGGATACATATTGGTAGATAATCAGCCACGGGGTGGGGCGAGGAAGACCATATGCAGAAGGGAGATAGGAGGAAGACGATGCAGGAGGAAGACGATGCAGGAGGAAGACGATGCAGGAGGAAGACGATGCAGGAGGAAGACAATGCAGGAGGAAGACAATGCAGGAGGAAGACAATGCAGGAGGAAGACGATGCAGGAAGCTCGAGCACACTGGTTGTATTGGGATTGGGTAGCCAAGACTTTTCGCCGTAAAATGATGGAGGCACCTACGTGAGCAAAAGTGAAGATGTCAATGCCTGTACTTGCCAAGCATACGACTTTGGTCAGTAGACTGTGAGGGATACAGTCGCCTCTCATTCAAGGCAGGGGCAGATCAACGGCATGGGTAGAGGGCTCACCTTGGCTTCTGCAAATTATACGAGGCAGCCTCCACTCCATATTGGAAACGCTAAAATGACTCCTACGTTTGTGTTGGTTTCTGGGATGGATAAAAGGCACTAGGGTGGGCCGTAAATTCGGTCTATAGTACTCATTGAAGCAACCTTTCACTTGCAAAGTTGTTGAATCGTCCTTCAATACTACACTCCGTCGAGAATGTCAGGTTTGTCCGCTGCACCCCGTCTATCGACCACGGACACAATATATCTGCTTCATCACGTCTTCCTGCCCCCCAAACTGCCACAGGAAGATGATTATAACGCTTCACATGAAAGTGCTCTGCTCGATGGCGTTATTAATGCCCTCGCTCTGTTTCAGGAATATAGTCATGGGCAGGAAAGTGAAGTTGTTGACAGTGTCAAAGTGATGCTCACTCGTTTGAGAGCGACGCGCGATTGTCATGGGGACGTGAATCACGTCGAGCTTCGAAAGGCTCTAGAAAAATTGGAGAATTCAGGTATGGCCAGCTATAACTTAGCTGACATCCGGGAGGACACTGACACGTGTTGCGTAGGAGGTGCTCTACCTGTGCATGTTCGTTGCCAGAATGCTGCGGTCTTAATGACCAGGCACAGCGATTCAATACATGTCGAGACGTTTGAACTATCACCTCGGAACGAAGCCGTCAACACTACGGTGGGTCGACTCCAACGCCAATTTCCTGGGCCAACCTTTGCTTTGGATCGAGCCGTCTTCAATGAACCAAATATGCAAACTACCATTGCGCACGCCCTGGAGAGCATGAGTCGTCAGCCTGCCCCGGGAACCAAGCCAAAAGTGAAGAAGGCGCGGCAGGAGCACGACGAGAATCGGGATACAACCGATCCGATGCTGGTTACGGAGTTGTTCACAACATTCCTTCGCCCACAATGCAGAATTGTGAACAGCTTGCAGGTCTGTAAGAACACAAGGGAAGAGGTCCTGTGGCTCAACAGTCTGCAACCTTGGAGACGGTCCGCCCTCTGGCTCCAGATTCGAGTTACGATGCAATTGGTCATTCGGAGGCTCTTCCAGCGCAAAGAAATCTCAGCTGACCTTTATAAAGAATTCATGATCTTTTACATGAGTTCCATTCTCCGCCGCTGTCCCAGTAGCATAAGCAGTGAGCACCGGTATATCATGACTTCCAAAATCGTGCGCCGGTTACGAAAGCTTGATCTGGCGGATGATCATGCTTGGCTTCCGTTTGTCCAGTGTTCCCTTCAACAAGCGAATGACGTCCTAGAAGAAAGATGGAGCAGCATCCTCGCCCGTAACGCCTGCCGACCTGACATGTCTTCCATGGCTCGACTCAACTTTCAAGATGACACTAATTGCTCACTGCCCGGTCTTGATGAGTGGCTTCAGAGCATCAGAACCGGCCAAGACTCCTCAGTGCCGCCAGATGCCTACCCACAGTCTGGATTCTTGGATTTTGAGCCTGCAGAGCTCCCATCGCTCTTCCGACTGACTGACCCCGACTATCACGTCTACAATCTCGCTGCCTTCGAAGCTTGGGTTGACTTGAATCTTCAATCCTGGACTGAGACACATATTAGCCATGAAGACACCTGCGAACGACTAAGCAGATTAGTCAATGCCTATTATAGTATTGCATCCAAATTGTACGCTGCTAATCCTGAGGCATTGTCAGCCATGCTTCTCACCATTCTGGAGCTCTGGATAGCTTGCGACAAATCCGCCGTCCATATTCATCCGCTGCTTCGCCAGTACAAGACTTGTATTCCGATACATCTCTTCCAGTCTCTCCTGTTACCTCGTCAATCCCAGCTTACCAGGTTGGCACACGCGGAAAGGTACATGCGTCAACGCCACCAGGGCGTCCAGTACAGAGGTTCCAAAATTCTAACCGACTTTGGAGCCCCTTCCTCCTTTTCCGTGCGCTACTTCAAGCAGTCCGCTGAACACCAACGTTTGCTTGCCAATATTGAACAAAGAGCTGAATCCGAGAAGGCGGACAAAGTTGTGGAGCTGCACCGAAAACATGAGCAGTATAGGGAGTTATGTGCTCGCCGTGATGAGATTGAATGCACTTACTACGATGAGAGACTCCACAACCGGTTCCACTTTACAGAGCGTCGTCATAGCCCCTCCTGCCAGAGATGTAGGTTGGACCGTGCTGCGAAAGAGATCACAATTCATGTTCATGAATGGCCTTGTCTTCCAATCCCTTGGAAGCAGAATCCACGGTCTTCGAGTTGAAACTGCCCCGATCATTTGCATTCTGGCGTGATCTCACTGCCTTCATTGTGCTTGAAATTTTTGGAATCACATATGCTTCGAAAGAAACGCCTAGAGCGGACTACCGACCAGGCAGCTACAGTGGCCTCTCCATGTTCTTCACCGCGGTCGTTGATTCCCCAAGGATTGGCCTTCTTTCCCAAGTTAAACCACACCAAGGAACTCACAGGCGAAAGAACCACATTATCAATGTATCAGAGAGCGACGTTTGTCTTGCGAACGGTTTGCATTTCAAATACTTCGACAATGCCCACCGCTGCTTCACTGACGATCTGGTCCAAACACATGCGATGGCAACGGCATGCACGTACAAGTTACCGCCATCCAGCTCATCTCTACAGCCGTTTCTCTTCCGCCCAGCGGAGACACCTGACGGCCCGTCACCCAATACGGTCATTGCATCGCAGCATACCTGCCCCAATGACATGACACTGGGAGAGTATAAGGCGCTCTGCTCGATGCCATTGGGCTTCCATATCCAGTGGCAGAACATCCTTCGGCAGCTCGCCGCACCTACGGTGGTGTTCAATAAGGTCGAAACGTGCCTTTTTACCCTGCAGATCATGCACCAGGCAGGGCCGCCATCGCTCATGGATCCAATCCTGCGCGAAGGCCATCATGTTCTGAACGAAGATTTGTTCGCAGCGCCTTTACTGCGAGAGATCCAGAAGACAGCGGCGGCAATCGAACAAAACTGGCAATCCGCAGAGGGGCTGAGCGTATTGATCGCTCTCACCCAGAAGGTGTTGGCCTGCTCCCCATCGGTCCACATTCAGAACGAATGCATAGAGCAGCTGGATGGCCTCCGGAAGATATCTTTCGGTTGGGTGATGACTGTTGGGGAGGAGGCCGGTGCTACGGACAGCAATGATCACAGGAACGATCTGATTGCCTCCGCCGCTTATCTCGCGTTGATGTGCGTGGGCACGTTTGATTGCGAGAACAGCCACTTGGAGTGAATACTCCGGAACGATCTGGATGCGTCCGTTTTCATCCAATGCAGTATGGTCATTCATGACCGAAAAGGCCTTCTAAACAGGGTATCCAGCTGTTTACTGCCAATTCTCTACTATCGATGGCAGAACATAGCCTTTCGGGGACACCGCATTCTCGTGAACAACACTATCCATGGCCGCAGGACCGCTCTCGACCGAGCGATCCAGCGGACTTGGGCCGCGTACCGACCAGGATCACCGTGGACAGCAGCCTCGAGTGGCACTCAATGTTGCCTGCACGCCCAGGTTATGGGTGAATCAGGTGGTGCCAGCGGCGTCGGGGTGTACGTTAACCTTCTCACTGGTCAGCTGCTCATCAATGGTCGTCCCCTGGCGCGGTTGCCCTCAGAGTTCGAGCGCCATAAAACATATCAATCCCTGTTTGGGCATTCCTTAGTGGAAGTGATGCCCAGCGACCTTTCTGGCTTGGAATACTCCGCCCAGAGACTGCATATGGGCCAGACGATCTACCTGGGAAAACAGACGATCCCCGAGCAGAGTGGGTTCGATCTACGCATTCGAGCCGTGGATGGGCGTAGAGTATGGGAATTCGTACCCCCGAGGCTTCTCGCGGCTGCTTTACCAGATGCCTTCATTGAGGGATACGCCCATTGGTACGAGACCAATTGCGAGTATATCGAGTTTCGTCCTATTAACGAGCCATGGAAGCCATCACCTGCCTCTCACTGGCGATTGCAGCGCACCCAGCCGGGAAATAACTGGCAGCTCACTCAGGGAAATATGTCGTTAATTAGTATGGGAAGCGAGACAGCGAGAACATTGTGTGATGTCTTCCAACCCATCGAAAAGGCCTCCAAGCTTCACTACAAACTGCACCACGAATCTGGCATGCTGGAGATCGAGATTCCCCGCCTGCGGCTGAGCTTTAATCTGCGATCTGGTCAACCGTCAATTGAGTCTCGCCAGTACCGGGGAATGGTCGTCGACCCTGATCAGTCAGTAGGCACTCTGATTGGCCTGCGTAACAAGCTCGTTTTGCTGGACCGAAAACCTCATAATCGGAGGGTTCTCATCCCGGAAGGTCAGATAACATGGGAGCAAGACGGTACCCACGTCACCGTCAAGGTTGGTTGGCAGGCAGCAACCAGCGTGCATATTTATCTCATAAACAGTGACATCGGCTGCTTGACAGACAATGGGACTCTGCAGAGTAAACTGGTACTGTGCTATCTGCATGCAGTCACGTCATTCTGCATCCCTGACCCCTTGGCCAAGCACACAGGGACCGAACAGTCTCTCTCTATCCTTCGCTCGGCATCGATACGGTCGCGTGTTATGCAAAGTGTTCAATGGGATCCCATCCTAGGTTGTTTGGCTCAACATAACGAATTCCACGGCCAGGTAGCTGCGATACTTGATCAACACCATCGGATGAGAATATTCAATGCGGCTTCACCGGGGACGGAGCCATCCCTACCTGCATTGAATGCAGACCTCCTGCAGCGGGATCGCATTCGCTCCTCGGTCTTCCGGATCTCTGGTTTCGGCGCTGAGGACCACACGGATGCGGAGGACTGTCTGTATGAAGGACTGGGCCGGAATTACCAGTCCGAACGCTGTTCGCAAGTGTTCACTCTCTGCAGAATTCTCTACGAAGATATCCCCTCTGTCGAGGACGTCACGCTGGACTCCTTGGCTGCACGTCTTTGGAAATTTCTTACCAAGTCCAGCACAGTACGCGGATCAAGTACGATGCGATGTGGCTCACGGAGTCCGGCGAGTTTGTTTCCAGTCACTGGTGCAGTATCCATTGGCTTCTCTGCTCGGAGACGGCTCGGCCAAACAGATATGCGGTAATGCTGTGGTTGTCGACGTTGGCATTCTCCAGGAAGATAGACATGATTGTCTTGCACGTTCTTGCTGCGCTGTACATTGTACCCGGTATGGCCTCGATGACCTTACCAGCACAGGGTTTATACCGGCTGCAAGAAGGTTCCGGGTTGAACGTCGCCGAACTGAAGGCTCGGATCCAATCAACAAGCCGGAGCGTGACCCCCGAAGATGGCCTCTCGCCCGGCCCAGCGGAATCGTATAGCACGTTTCATGCGCGCGTGGCGAAGCTGAGAAAGACAAAGCGGAAAAAGGCACTGGGTCATTTCATAGCCGGCCTACAGACACAGTGGCCGACCCGATGCCCCTCACGTCCCATATCTGATGAAGAGCCGCCATTCGCAGATTATTTTGTCCCACAAAAAGCGATGCAAGTTTTAAAGGCAGCAATGTCAACTTGGTTCGATAACCGAGAGCTTAGGCAGTATCTTGATAGGATTGCAGCCGTTTACACCGCCCAAAAGATCCATCCCATCACAATGCCACCATGTCTCTGCCGGTGCTGGGAACGCCCCCCAGACCGACGGCGTGCTTTCATCTCCGTGGATGACATAGTGGACGGGTCGCTTGGTCCACCACCGGCGGTGGAAATGGAACCACCCACCCTACCACCTTGGTCGGGCAGTAGCACTACTCCGGACCAAAATCTAAATTTGTCAAGCTTAGTCGATTCCATAGAATCACAAGCGCGATCTCAATTCCAAAAGCAGTACATTGAGAGACTGCGGGCCAGTATGGCATCCTTGCAGGGTATCCAGCATATGGATCATCGCTTGCCGAGGACGACGTTCTTGAGACCGTCATACCCGATCATTTCCATCGCTGCCACGAGCACCATGAGAAGATCAGCCGTGCAATCATGTCGAGGATGATGCTTTCCAATACGATGACAGGAGAGATACATCCCGGATCACACACGGAGCGCAATATACTGGGAACATTTGCCAATATCCACGTCTGGCCGAGGGTATCATCATCACAGCTTCTTCTCCATCAGCTGACACGCAAACGCTGGAATCACCTGCCTGAGCCCTGGAAGGAATGCTTGGTCGCGTATGGATGTTCCATCACGGCACTCCAGCGGGCGAAGAGGCTCGTCAACGCGATGGGTCATCGTATGGATCTAGCCCGCGAACTGCAGAACCCCGGTCACACGAACTGGAACACAATGGATTTCCCCGAGTCATTGCTGCTAGAGATCGAGAGTGGGGTGTTGATTCGGGACGTCCAGGAACAGATCGCGCGACGAAATGCGCAGCCCGGACAGAATGTCATCATGCAACTGAATATGGGCGAGGGCAAGTCTTCCGTCATCGTCCCCATCGTGGCAGCCGCGCTCGCAGACCGTTCATGCCTAGTTCGCATCATTGTCCCTAAGCCCCAGTCGCGTCAGATGTTTCAGATGCTCGTTTCGAAGCTGGGGGGCCTTTTAGGGCGGCGGGTGTATCATCTCCCCGTGTCACGCTCGTTGCAGATCGGGGAACCGGAGGCGGAAGAGATCGAATGGATATGCCACGACTGCATGGCGGAGGGCGGAGTTCTCCTCGTTCAGCCCGAGCACCTCTTATCCCTGAAGCTGATGTGTCTCGAGTGCTTTATCACAGGGAGAGAGGCGGTTGGTGTATGTCTTCTGCGAATTCTGGATTTCTTCAGGACCTCCTCGCGAGACGTGGTGGATGAAAGCGATGAGAACTTCAGTGTGAAGTTCGAGCTGATCTACACGATGGGGACCCAGCGTCCGTTGGAGCTCAGTCCACAGAGGTGGACTTTAATCCAAGAGATGCTCGGCCTGGTGAGGAAGTATGCTCCAGTTATCAAAATGCAGTTCCCGCGGTCAATTGAGGTGGAGGAGCCGCATCCAGGATATTTCCCCAGGATACGGTTGCTCCGAGCGGATGCCGTCCATCAGCTGTTTGAACGGATTGCGGATCATATTTTCCATAACGGTATTGACAAACTGCCAATTTCAAGGCAGCCAGAAGCACAACGACGCGCGGCGATCGCTTATTGCCTTAACCCTGACCCGTTACCACTGCAGATTGCTGCAGTTGAAACCCCAGATGCGTCTGGCTTAGGGAACGACAGCACGAGGGATCCTCTGCTACTACTCCGGGGTCTGCTGGCTGGCAACGTTCTGGCATTCTGCCTGGGACAAAGACGCTGGCGAGTCAACTATGGACTTGATCGCTGCCGACAACCCCCCACAAGGCTGGCAGTTCCGTATCGTGCCAAGGATAATCCGGCACCACGGGCGGAATTCAGTCATCCCGATGTTGTCATTGTACTGACGTGCCTGAGCTATTACTATGAGGGACTCCGCGACGAGGACCTATTTCGAGCATTCGACCATCTGGTCGGATCGGATCAAGCTGACTCGGAGTATCAAATATGGGTCGATGATGCCCCGACTCTCCCCCCGGCCTATCGTCAATTGCTGGGCGTTAATCTCCAGGACCGGCTCCATTGCGTGGAATGCATTTTCCCCTGTCTTCGGTTCGCGAAGGGAGCCATCGATTACTTCCTGGCTCATATTATTTTCACCAAAGGCCTAAGGGAGTTTCCGAGTAAATTATCTTCGTCCGGATGGGATATCGGTGAGGTCAAGTGCCATCCCACCGTCGGCTTTAGCGGGACCAACGATTCCCGTGTCACCCTTCCGCTCAGTGTGGAGCAGCTGGATCTACCTGACCAGAACCACACCAATGCGTTAGTTCTCGAATATCTTCTCCGACCCGAGACTGGCATTGCCCTGATTCCGACCCGAGATGACCTGTCCAGTCAGATGCGCAGGTCCTTCTGGATATGGTGGCGGAACTGGGTTCACCCGTACGCGTGATTCTGGACGTTGGAGCTCGCATATTAGAGCTGAGTAACCTGGATGTTGCGAAGACCTGGTTGGAGATGGTCAGTGATGATGGTCGAACGCAGGCCGTGGTCTTTATCAACGACGACGACGATATCGCCGTGGTAGATCGGACCGGACTCGTCGAACCGCTGCAGACGTCACCTTTCAAAAGGCACCTCGATCTATGCCTTGTGTTCCTTGACGAAGCACATACGAGAGGGATTGATCTGAAGCTACCCCTGAATTACCGGGCGGCGGTGACGCTGGGACCGAACATCACAAAAGACAAGCTGGTTCAAGGTCAGGGACCCCCGCTGGAACAGTCATATGCACTTCTCACTAACGGCTATTCACAGCATGCATGAGAATGAGAAATTTAGGGAGAGGACAATCGGTCGTGTTTTGCGTACCGGAAGAGATCAAGTTCAAGATTCTGACCCTCTGTGGGAGGACCCACCATTCTGAACTTACCGTAGCAGACGTGCTTTGCTGGGCAATTTCAGAGACCTGGGATGATATGCAACGCAGCATACCTTTGTGGGCAGTGCAGGGAAACCGATATCAGGCCCAGGCCCGTCAGTGGCTGGTTCTGCGACAGGACGGGCAAACCTCGATATCAACATCTAAGGCAGAGGGGTTTCTGGAACCGGAATCCCAGTCCCTTGAACGGCGGTATAGACCCGGTTGTAATAATGTCCTTTCTCTTTCTTCCAAATGCCCTGATGATGCGGACTCGCGGCGCATACTGGACCGATGCCGTGAGTTTGCAACTGTGAAGTTCTCTGCAGCGCAACTCCAGGAAGAGCAGGAGCGAGAACTAGCACCAGAGATTGAGCAGGAACGACAAGTTCAACGTCCGGCTCCTGCCGAACCGGAAACGCATTCTGTACATCCTGATATACTCTCGTTCGTGGCCACTGGACACCTGGATGCATCATCCGCCGCCGTGAAACCAGCTTTTATGGTGTTAAAAGATACATCAGCGGCAAGATACCTGGATGTGGCCCAGTTCCCATCGGAGCTCCTTGTCACCATTGATTTTGCGAGAACAGTCCGACTGCCTAAATTATCTGCCCGGGATAGTTATCAGCGTGCGGTGGAATGGGTCCTGATGAGCACCGGCCATCCCTCCGAGGACGGAAAGCCCGTAGGGCACATGGTGATCATCAGCCCGTATGAAGCGGACAAACTTCATGCTGACATTCGCGGGTCTAGCGCAGTAACGCTGCATGTATACGCACCTCGGCAGAACCAGAGTTCGTATCCTATCGATAAGCTCGCTCTGTACACGATTCCGAAAAAATTAAGCACAAGGCCCCGGCGAGTCCCTGAGAGCCTACGCATTCAACTGAACCTCTTTGCGGGCCAGCTCTATATTTCGTCGTACAACGAGTATTGTGAGATATGCCGCTTTCTGGGAGTTGCGTTTACTGCCGCACCAGAGGGCTTGGTTGTCGCCGCGGATGGGTTCATCGTGGAGAACCAACAGGCAGGAGCCAAGTTCACCCAAAGCCCCCTCAGGTTTCTCAAGGTGTTCATGTCACGGATACGGAAGGACGGGCAGGAAATTGACAAGACCCACCTTGGGAAAATCCTAGACGGAAAACTCTTACTCATGGCGGACTTCCAAGATTTCAATGGCAGAGCTAGGACCATGCAGCTGAGCCTTCAAAATGCCCGATGAGATATCTCGAGCGAACAGCATGATGGGACGGTAGGGAATGCGTTTTGATGCCGGAGCAGTCTTCTTTGTGTTTCGGGTGACTGGCGCTTGGCTTCAGGCTGGACCTGATCAGCTCCCTCTCAATGTAGTAATGTAGTTCTAGATTCCTCTTGTCGTAGAGATTTCAAAAGGCAATGCTCTCGAGTTCCTTCCCGATATTATATTCGTTTTGTTCCCTCGTTATGAGCCTATTCGTGAGGCCTTTCACGGAATCTACCGTGAGATTCAGAATCGCCTTCCGCCTGTGTTACTGTTTTCTTTTCTTGAGGCCCCACTGCCAAGATTGAAATACATACGCTAACCGATAACGGTAAGTGCGTTACAGACTCATAACGAACAGTGGTATCATTTGCCTCTCGACATGACGTTAAAAATAATTCTATAACGTATTCATATTACTCAGGGTAATGACTCTGCTAGAATCATCGACCATTATCTATTGTTGAAGACAACTTCTATATTAACATCAGCCATCCCAGACCCTCCATTCAAGAGAGGTCTTTGTAACAAGGTAGAGACAAGGAAAGGCAAGGAAAGAAAACGCAAATATGCTTTCTCGACTATACCATATCGGGGAATCTACCGCGGTCTACGGCGGTTAATGGTTGGTTCTTGGGCGGGTTTTGGCGAGGTCTAGTCACAGGAAACAGGTGTGGGCCACGGCTGCCAGGAGTTGACCAGAACGTGCTGCAGTCTAGCAGCTACTCCAACCCATATAATCGTGACGCAATGTAATTCTTTACTATAGTTCAATTGCCGAGGTCAAGCAATAATATACACGAGGCACCTCTTTGAACGGGCATGTGGCAGCAATAGTACTTTGCACACTCATGAAAGCGGTGGTCAAGTGTGGTAGCCGCCCGAGGCACACTTTCCTCCGTGTCGGAAGTTGGCAGGCGGT